GCTATTGATCACACAATAGTCAATAAAGTTAAAAAGTATTTATTTTTTTCACAAATTTAGTACCTAGGAGGGAGTAGTATTTTTGTATATGTTTCACAAATTTATCCTGATTATTAAAATATTGATCAAATTTCAATTTCTTGCGAAAACGCCGTGCCGTTTTCAATTTTGAAGAGAACGCCGTGCCGTTCCAACCACAAAGAAGACAGGTTTCTGTTAAAGATGGATGATGTATACTCTCTCAAGTGTAATCTGTGATAGATATTACATACAGACAGTAACAAAGGTAAGAATCAAGGACGCCACAAAGTCTTTTGTGCACATAACATGCCTTCTTTGTCTTGAGCATAAGTCATACGAATCTCCCAATGCAAGCTTCTTAATATCTCTTCTAATGGCTCTAATATCTCCACTTTGTCACGCACCACGACCCAACCTCCAGGCCTTGTCAGTCTATCCATTTCCACAACGATCGAAACTGGTTGCTTACACCTTGCAACAACAAAACATAATATTTGGAGATTTTCATGGCCAGGTTTCTCATTTGACAAGCAGATTTGGATTCTAAAAAGATGATCACTTTACTTTATTATACCTGTTCTTGAGCCGTGAAAAGAGATGATCAGCATGAAGAAGGTCATAAGATCTTGGATATGTTCCAAATGCTTCACACCAATCATGGTATATACCAAAAAGACCTCTTTCGTATATGAAAGGTAGCGTATCTGGCGAATGAACTGGCACTACGTTCATTACCCACGCGTTCTGCTTCACTAGTGACGCTGCAAATCTGTTGATTGTTTTTGTAAGAAATCAAAACCAGTAAGAGCCACCATATTAACACAATTTTGTTCTAAATGAAGTAAGTAAAGATCTCTCCTTTTTTCCTTACCCGCCATAGATAGCTGTCATGTCCATCACATTCCGGATATGTGACCAGTCGATGCCTAATCCGGTGAGGTAAGATTTGTTTACCATAGCTTTCCAGTGATTTGTATCTTCAATGGCTTTCTCTTTGTTGGTTAACCACTCAGGATATGTTTCAAGTCTCTTTGGCCATTCTTCAGGCCACTCAGCTCCATGTTGTTCTATAGCCGATGGTATTTCGTGTAAACAAATTTTCATCGGCACATACCTATCCAAAAGAGCTCATGGAAGTTCATAAGAGTGGACATACAAGAATGAGAAAGTTACGCATTTTGGATTTATCACCATTGCTTTACTTACCAGGCTGCGTCTGGGTTTTCGTTCTCTTTGCAAAGAGGCGGAATTTTCTTCCTTCTCAGCTCGTAAATATCATTTGATTCTGGTTTCTGATATATTCTTACTCCCATTTCACTTGCTTCGTCGGTTTTGTGTGCCAGAATATTCCAACAAATAGAAGCTATCAATGCGGTCATCGCTGCAAAAACCCACACCAGAGACAAACTATGTCACAAGAGAAATAAAAGTAAGCGAATAAAAAATCGATAAATACTAAAGTCACAAGTAGAGTTTTGATATTACATTCAAATTAGACCCCAAATGATTTTAAGCACAGATCCATCAATTTCCTATTATACTGGATTATTCAGTGAAATTAAAAGATATATAAACCTTCATCATCCTCAATCTTTTCATTATTACTTGACAAAATGAAGTATCCATTAGGCCTTAAAATCCTGTTCATCTCCAGAAGAAGTCTACCACCTGAGATTGCGAAAAGATGAAATAATCACGACTCAAATAGCATATCGCCAGTAATGACATTGTAAGAGGAACACTTACCATGAGAATGCCAGTGGATTCCGCAAGCAGCACAATGAATGGTATCAAAGACTCCACTAGGAAAAGGAAGTCTTCTACTTGCCAAAGCACTGACTAATGTAGGAAACCCACGCTCAAGAGCAACCTGTGCTAAGTCAACTAGATCGTCCTTCAAGCCTAGAGATATTGTCAAAACATCCTTATCCAGCAATGCAGCTACAAAACTTGAATCTGTGCATCCAATGTCCAACACTATACGAACATTCTTTCCCCATTCAATATCTGGTACCATCTATCAAACACCAATGTTTTAAACAATTCTCTTTTACACAGAACTTGTCTCCAATAAAAAGTCAATTTCAGAGAGTAACAAATGATGCTTACCTCTTGAATGAATTCAAGGTACTGAATAACATTTCCGTTGAACGCAGTCTGATTCTGTGGAAAATTCAGGTATTCACCGGTCTCATTCACCCAGTTATGCTTCTTAATATATGCAGCCAACTTCGGATGCGCCACGTTTTTATACAAAATCTGATGTTCATAAAGAAAGACAATAGATCACAACTAACTTATACCAAATAAAAACCAACACAAAGAAGCTCAACAAATTAGAACCTTAGATTTGCTCTCAGGCCAAGAAACAGGAGGATCATAGCCATCATGTGGTAGAGGAACAAGACACATAACAGGCTTCTTAGGACAACTCCTCTCTCTATGTCTATAACTCTGAAGCCTCCCTATTAACCCATCATTATCAATACATGGCATGTAATTATGCTTGCTCCTAGTGTTACACAATCTCCAGCTATACACAGCTTTAGGATCAAACACCGGACCTTTCCTCTTCCTCTTTTTACCTATCTCCGTTGCGTTAACTTCCTCGTTCTTTTCTTCCACTTCTTCATCCACTGATGCACTTGAAT